TTTGAAAATTAATGTTACAAATTATGATCTCAAAATATGCTTTTAAATGAATAATTTATATCATAAATATATTACATTATTAAAAAAATAAAAGGTATGTATAATTATGATAAATATTTTGATATGTTAAATTTTTTGGCCCCGACTAACAATCAATTCTGGCTCCGCCACTGGGTCTGGGTCAGTGTATCTAACCGTGGTGACGGTCTGTTGTCAGTTACTGTTCATGATTACTAGTTTGATGTTGGCAATGAAGTCCTGATGGGACAACGTGTCAAAGCAAACTCCATTGGAATAAAGCTTAATGACCCTTGGAATGACAGAATCAATGCCGTGAGATGGTACATTTTGGCCGTGATCCGCTTTCGGTTGTTGGGTTCCACAACGATAGCAGTAAAGGATGATCCATCAGAATCACCTCTAGGACACTCACGGAGCTCCACTGGCTCCTCGCTAATGTTCTCAATCACCATGAAACGGGACAAATGTAACGAATCTAAATAAACCATATGAAAACAAAACTAAGTCAACGGAATTGGAATATTCCATTTCCCTAGAGCTCTTTACCTTATCCCCTTGCTAAGCATAAGATATTTAACAGTCTCAGTATTGAAACATCTCCGAACCATTAGATCATAATATTAATCAATATTATTGTCAAACCATTACCTTATCCCAACTTCTAAGGGTATGTTTAGGAGTTTGGAAGAGTATGTAAGAAAGGGAATATAAGGGGAAGGGAATGAATAGTATTATTCTCCTTTTGTTTGAGAGTTAAAGATATGATAAAAGAAAAATTTGTAGAGTTAATGAGATGTTTTTACAATTTTACTCTAAGGAAGCATAAATGTTACGGGTCACCGATACTAGTCATTGTAGAAGATTCTCCTCCTATATATATATATATATATATATATATATATATATATATATATATATATATAGAGGGCATTAATCCGTATGATTTTGGTAAAAATACATCAAAACGACATAGTTTTATTAAAAATGACATAACTTTGTTACCTTATAATTATTACTAAAAATAATCTAACATTTTTATAATCATGAACAAAAACTTAAAAATCAAAATAAAACGAAAAGCACTCACTTAACTTTTTAATAAGGATCTTTATTATGAATGTTTCTAATCATAATAGTGATTTTCTGCTTATTAATTTGAGTTTAAACGTTATTATGGTATCATTATTGTAAATTCAATTTTTTTGTGAGAGACAAAATATGTCAAATGAGGCGTCATTACGTAGATCTCAAAAAGTTACGTGGAATAAAAAAAAATTACCTAATTCGGACACCCGAGTCAAAAGTCATGGACTTTCAAAATTTTACGGTCAAACTGTTAACTTTTGTGCCACGTGGCAGCACCTGGTGAAACACGCCCCAATGGGCGTGTCTCTCTTCTAGGTCACGCCCAAATTGGGCGTGTCTCTCTCCAACCGGTCACGCCCCCATGGGGCGTATTTTACTACTATATTTTCGTAATTAATTTCAAAATGACTACTTTTTCATAATTTTTTATTAAAAAAGCAATAAATTAATTTTTTTCCCAATCAAGGAAACGCATGCTTAAATCTACGTCGGGTCGCGCCCAAGAGTTGGATTAGTCATGATAGAATTTGCAAAGAAAAAAAGCCTAAAGTAGCTAGCCCCTAATTACTTTGAGTAGTTCTTAACACTTACTTCCGAGCCTGGGCCCTTTTTCTTTCTGGATGCAAAGAGAAAAACCGAGCATTCTAAAAAAAAATACAGTAATAATGTTGTCTCTCTATGTTAAAAAGTCTTGATTTCATATCTTTCTCCTCATAAGAGATTCTTTTAAAAACTAATTTAAGGGTGAGAATATTAACACTCTTATTTATTTATTTTTGCTACATATTTAATATTTATTGTCTAGGGTAGGACGGCAAATTATATACCCTTTTTCCTTTCCTATCTTTTTCTTTGATAAATTTTCTCTATTCCTGTCGTGGCTCTTAACAAATATTTAATCATCTATAGTAATATATTATCTTTGGATAAATAACCACATTGGAAGACTTTGTGCCTTCATGTATTTTGGCCAAAACAGAGTTGGCTTCTTCAAGTCTAAGGCACTTAAGCATATTAGTAGAGAAACCACGACGACAAAGTTGATCAGGTCTAAAGTTTCTTGGACGCTTGCAGGTCGACAAGCAATTATCCATGCTTTACAAAGGAAATGATGGGTTTTTTTCATTTTAATTACAGCTTTGGATTCAAAAATTAATTTTTTTTCTATCTTCATTCAAATTTTTTCTCTAATTCAATGATGATTAAATTGGTAATGGAGTAGTAGTAGAAAAAATTTATAGTAATTGAATCGCAATCAAATCTGAATCGTTAATTTGATTTTTTGAATCATATATCATAAATTGTATTAACTCATCAGATTCGGAAGTATAATTAAATTATACTTTACCAAAATAAATAAAATCAAATCATAACTTGTCTAATGGAGTCATGCTGTGAACATAAATATAATAAAATGATACTTTTCAAAAAAAAAAAAATCAAAACGTAACTTTACGAAATGTATTTAAATACAAATATATATTAATGAATAAGATAGTAAGAATAGAACTAAGATTAGTAAAATTTGATAGAAAATACATTTAAACATAACAAAATTAAATTTATTTTTTTAGTTAATCTCAAATAGATTTTATATTTGTCTAAATATAAATATGTAAAAAAATAAGATAGGAAGAAAATAATTTATATTTAAAAATTGAACAAATAATAGGTTGAAATATAATAGAAAAAAATTTATATTTTCCTAAATTTAAAATAGACTTGACATTTATTTAAAAAAATAATTTATAAAATTCTTATATTTATTAAAATAGTGAAGATCAAAAAATTTAAGTTTAACTCATTTATTAATTTATAGATTTAGTAAATAAAATTTATAGATTTAATAAAATAATTATAAAAGAGTTACTTGTATTTTTTTCCCTACTAAAAATTTCAAATTTCCTAAAACTAAAATTTAAGTCATTGGATTATTGATAGTGGTTCTTATAAAACTGAAAGAGCGTATGGGAATTCAAAAGGAAGATGAGAAATGCTTCTATTTGGATCTATCACGTCATGGATGACTCGTTGCCACCGTCATTTCTGAATTGCAATTTTTATGTAACTCACAACATTTTACTCTCACGAAATTATATTTCTAAATTTCAAATAGATTTATATTTATTTAAAAAATTATTTATAAAATTCATATATTTATTTAAATAGTCAAGATAAAAAAATGTAAGTTTAACTCATTTATTTATTTATAGATTTGGTAAATAAAATTTATAGATTTAAAAAAACAATTATAAAAGAGTTACTTGTATTTTTACTTTTCTACTAAAAGTTTCAAATTTTACTAAAACTAAAATTTAAGTCCTTCGATTATCGATAGTGGTTTTAATAAAACTGAAAGAGCGTATGGGAATTGAAAAGGAAGATGAGAAAAGCTTCTAACTGGATCTATCACGTCATCGATGAATCGTTGCCACCGTCATTTCTGAATTGCAATTTTTCATGCAACTCACAAGATTCTACTCTTTAAAAAAAAATAAACTAACAAACTAATTAGAAATATATAATACAAATGTTACATTTGATCTAGTAAATAATACAAAAGGTAGTATTCAATAAGAATTAGTAAAAACTGTCCTCATATTTCTAAGCGTTACAGAATATTATAAATGTAGTAGTGTTGAAATCATACAAAATACGTCGTGTCCTAATGTAGCTCGAAAATCTATTTTGGAAACATAATTTGTTTCAAAGATTGGCATTCATTGAAGTTTGTTTGTACCAAGCCAAGCTTTGTAGCTGACTACCCCTCTATGATCATGATAAGGCAAAAGACGACTTCGGTTGTATTATATATGGGCTAATACAACAGGAGCCCAGGAGGGGAGCTTCTCCCACTCTTTATTTCTTGATGTTAATGAAGTTATTAATTAATATATATCATAATGACAATAATGAATACTCATGTTTTGAATATCAATGACATGATAAGGTAATGATTGTTTTACATGATCGTTATGTGATTATAAGATCATGGGTTTTAAGGGTAAGAATTTCCTTAGCTTGAAGCACTTCAAGCTTTAAAGGTGGGCCGGAATCAATGTTTTGCTGAAACAAAACAAATTGGTAAAATTCGGATTGGTTTAAAGAATCGAACAGCTTTATTTTACTCAAACCGGTTTTATTTTTCTGATTTAGCAGAAAAATTAAAGAGAAGCCAAAATAAAAAGGGAGTTACTAATCTAATCTCATGCTGCTTGAGATAGTACTATTAAGATAAATATGTGGGGTTCACAATTTTAAAAAAAAATTGGTACAAAATTTAATGGATGTAGAACATAAGATAGTTATCTCCAACGATATGAGACAAATATTTTCCAAATAAAAATTATACTGAACAATCAAACTACACGAATAAGCACCCACTAATGTCTTTAAGGAATTTGATGAGGGATTTAATGAACAATTCTATATATATAATAGCTCCTAATCTCATTTTTCTTAATCTATCACTAAGATCCTGATCATAAAAAACTAGTCAGGGTGTCAATAAAAAACTAAGCAAGCACACCTTCCCTGACATCATGTCAATCGATACAATATACTGTTTCTTGAGAAAATATCACTGGTTCATATTCATATTGAATGGTTGCCGGATACAAATTTTTTGGAATGAAATCTTGGACTAAGGCCTCATTCTCTGTTTCCATTTTTTTAATTGTCCACCCATGTTAGCTTCTCAAAACGCATCGTATCAGAATGGAGAGTTTTCAAAGCATGAGAAACACCACTAGTAAGTGGTCTCTCACATGTTATACTCTTTGTATATTCTCTATAAATGAGACAGAAGCTTCAATGTTAATTTTCCTTACTTTTTCTCTTTTTATTAAATGTTTTTCCTTGACATCTATAATGTTAGAGATGTAATTTAAAATCTATTCATGTGCTTCAAAATATTGGAAGGCCTTGTCAAGATGCTCATCTCTTTCTAACGTGTGTCTATGCATTGCAGCAGTGATGAATTCTATGTAGTGAATTGTGCCATTTCCATCTACATCAGCCTAAAGGATAAATAGAGGACAAATATTGTAAATCAACGATAGCTTTTAGCTTCCATAAGCTGCTGCACTTCAGCTTCAGTGAGATTTGAGCCAAGATTTTACTATCCCACCCTCAGTTCCTCATAGGTGATTGTACCACTATTGTCAGTATCCATATTTGTAAACATTGCCTTCAAACCTTGGATCTCCTCTTCTGAAAGATTTTCATTTTTCAGCAATGACCTAAAAGATTGTTCAAAATCCTTCAGTTTTTTTGAATTGGTAAAGCTACATATGTTGAGAGGAAGATATTTGAGAAAAGTAAAGGTTATAGAAAGATACGGAGGAAGAGAACATTTTTATTACTACACAACTCTTTTTCTTTTTGGCTTGTTACAATGATGGAGATGAACCCTATTTATACTAGTGGCACCTCTTAAAAACAATGACTCCAAATAATTCTAGAGTTTTCTATACTAACCTAGTACAAATATTAATTGTGGTATGTATAATTACCCTCATTAATTATGACAGGTGTAACTACCCTCTAGATCTTTCATGGAATTGACTACAATAGAAATTTTTAGATCTTGGGCTAAACTAACTCCTAAAGTATAATTCTAGATGTTGGGCTAAATGTATACTAAGTCCAATGGATCAAAAAGTAAATCAAGTTATTTATTCAACAACATACCCCTACTCCATAAAGTTACAAAAATTCGGGGACTTTAGAGTCATAATGATGAGAACACTAGAATAATATTTTGTCTCTCAATGTGTAATTATTGGCTGAAATAGACATTGACTTAAAATTAGCTTTTTCTATTTGTATTTGTTGATCCATAGACTGCAGAGAGGTACCAAGTATGCCATCTAATAGAATAAGCTTAAAATAGTTGTTTAAAATGTGTGTTTATCAAATGTTTGCTATTTTTGTTTCAAATTCAAATTGGAAATGCTGCAGCATCGTATTGGGCATTAGAAAGAGACCGACAACACATCTTAAGTTTGGCATCATATTGGGCATTACCAGGTTCGCCAACAAATTCCCAAAATCCAACTCGCACTCAACTTTAATATACTGATAAATTGAATAATAAAATCATTGGATGAGTGATATAGAATGAGGTGAACTCACAATTGAGAAGTTAAAAAAAGATATAACAACCTTACTAGTAAAAAAAGATAAAGATGTTAAATAGCATGTACTAACTCCAATTTTGAAACTTAATTTTAAAGACTGTCTACACTCCAGCCATACCTAAACCACCACTAAAACAGGCACTAGTTGTGCATTGACACGAGATTATTTAATATCAAACATATTACATTCATTTCCAAACGTCATTCTTTCGGCTAGCAGTGTCATCATTTGTAGGAAAGCTGAGACATCGTGTAAAATTCTTGCATATTTCATTGCCTGCAGGAAACATGAGCATACTGTAAATGTCATCATACTAGACATTCTATAAGATTTTAGCTTTAAAACTGTAATATTGTAAAATCTCATTGGAAATCCTAGTTGCTTTACTCAAAACATTAGTTGTTTTCTTATAAATTTTTCCACTCACATAGCCTTGCCTTTGATTAATTCTGAGTAAGCAAGGCATCAAATACTTTCCCCAATCATTGGTGAATTCAATCCACCATCAAACATAATCTATCTCTTCTTTCAATTTCATGTATCATTTCTTCATATAGCAAAATGAAAATATTATTAACTAGGAAAGGGAGAATACAAGATAGGTTGATGTATCAGGATTTTTGCATACAACTTTTCATTTTTCACAATGCAAGATGAATAGGATTAAAATGGTCAAAAGGATTGGAAAACATTGCATACCGTAATCCTTGTCTGTTATTATTGGTCATCTTCCCTTGCTTCCCCAAAGTCACTAGGGAATGATAGTAGACTCTCTCTATACATAGCAGACTGCCATGGAATCACCTTGAAAAACCTCACTGTATATGTGGAAATCTCAAGCAGCTCTCTTTTGTCATCAAGTTTCATTAATTTTCCAGAGGCAAACGATCCAACAATTCCACCACCTTCGGTGAAGCAAATCGGCAAAGGAGGGTCGCAACCAGTGTAACAATTAGACTTAAAAATGGACATTGTCCAAGATGACTGCACTTTGTATTCTTTCATCACCCAGCAAACCAGTGCACCATTCTGCCCTGCCGGGGAACACAGACTAAGACATCCTTCTATCACCACCAAACAACAAATTTCAAATAATGATTCATTTGTAAATTCAAGTGGCAAAGGAATCTCAGATAAACTCCTCTCTTTCAAGTCAAAGGACAAAATCACACTATCAAATTTATGAGATACAGCCATCCAATGAAGAGCCCCATTCAAGAGTAACCCACATCTGGATTTGCCCCCGTGATCCAGATATGGAAAATCCAAACCCTCAATTTTGTTCCATGAATTGGTTTTCAGGGAGAAAGAACACATGTGAGTTCCCACATTTTTCAATCCCACACCAGTAATTACCAAGTAGTCATCCCTTGATGCGTCGTATCCGAAACCATATAGAAATTTTTTGTACCCTGAATAATCGTGATAGCAAGGTATTGATTTTTGGGAACCGGTTGCGGGATTCCATAGAATGAGATTATATAGATATCTTAAAAGTATAAACCCTCGGCAAGAACCCCAAAGTCGAAGACATTCTGGACTAGTGAAAGGGGATGATGACTTGGGACCAGTGAGGTATACTTGAGCAGAATGATCATGAAGTGGTGCCTCTATATCTATGGATCCTAAATAACCTTCATTATTTGGTTGTACAAGAAGACGGTGGGTGGGTGCTGCAGCAATGTCATAATGTGATTTTGCAAATTTGGAATTGGAAATAAGAGTGAGCCATGACTTACACACACATTTGAAACGTAAAAGAGATCTCACTGGCAACTTTAACAGAATTTCTTCTATCAACTCATTAGGGAGTGTGTGATTAAGTATCATTATGTCACTCTTCGGTTTCAACAGCAGCGAGAGAGAAAGAACGCAACAAATGAATGAGAAAGGGTGACTCACTCAAATCTCAGTAAGCAGAACACGAGAATTCGCAATTACAGATAGCTTCTTTTTTTCTTTTTGCTTCCTCGTGTTTTCTTATATTGAATTTTTGATGATTTTGAAATTATATTATTTTTTAAAATGTTAGCAAATTAGGGCTACGGTGAACACATAGGATAAGGGTGAGATATGATATGGGGCTCACGAGGGTCAGATATGATATGGGGCTGATAAGCCTATATCATATCCTGTGTTTGATGAGCAACTGATTAGCAATCTGATAAGATTATGTAAGAGAAGAAAGGAGAAAGAAAAAATAAAATATAATGCAACAAATACAAATATATTGGGTAGCGTGGGGATACATGGTTGAAGATATATTGGGTATCCAATATTGGTATCATATCCCGTTGAATCCTAACCAGCTCCCTCCGTAGGATAAGAAATCATGTATTGGATAGGATAAAATGAGACAATAAGATAAGTTAATCATATCCTATTGACCCACCAAACAAGAGATAAAAATAGGATATGAAAAATCCGTGTAACAAACTGCCCTAAAGATTTTGTTTGCTACCTTGGTTTTTTTTTTAAATTTAAAATACCATATTAACGTTATTGAATCGCAATCAAATCTGAATCGTATATCATAAATTGTATTGATAATTTAATATATTATATTAATTGATAATATATTAAATATATAATGATCCATGTACAAATAAAAAATAAAATCATCAGTTGTCTAAATTGGATATTGCTGAGAACATAAATATATGATAATTGTTTTAATATATATATATATATATATATATATATATATATATATATATATATATATAGTAAATCAAATGTAAATATATAATAAATAAAATAGGATCAATAGACTTATGATATAAAAATTCGACTAAAAATATATTTAAATAAAATAAATTTTATTTTTTTAATTAAATTTATTCTACGTATAAATGTAAATTTATTATAAACAAATAAGATAAAAAAATAGAATTAGAATTTTAAAATTGAATAAAAAATCAAATTTCAATATAAAAAATGAAATCAAAGTAACCAAAAAATATATATTTAAGTATAAATTTATAGTGAATAATAAGATTATAAGAATAGTATTAGGATTTAAAAGTTTAATAACTCCTTAACCATATTTTCTCCTATTCTTTCCCTATATGGCTATATGTCACCTCCGCATTGCTTAACTTTGATTGTGCATAGACTCCTGGAATTTTCGAAGATTAGGTTAAAAAAATAAAAATGTTTTCTAAAAGTTTTGTAAATTTAAATAGAATTATAGCGATTCTATATATTAAAATTATTGCTCTAATTAGAACTTTTTTCATTACCATTGAAACATCCCAATTTACAACGTGATGGATAACCACCATAGAGTCATCGTCACCATGATATCAATTTTATTTTATTTTTTTTGGCAAACATCATGATATCAATTTTAATATATTAAAATTTAATTTTTTATCCAATTTTAAAAAATTTAATTCTATTTTCTTATCTTTTTTGTTCATTATACATTTATATTTAGATGTATATTAAATTTATTTAAGATTGTATAAAAAAATAAATTTTATCATATATACATATATGAACAAAGTGTTTATCATTTTAAATGACATAAAGTTATGTCATTTTAAGAGAGAGACAAGCACAGATTTTTTTTATTTAAATTTTAAATTAAAAAAATCACTCACTTTCTCTCTCCCATGATTTTCATTTTTTTGTATCTATCTCTCTCCTAAAATGACATAACTTATGTCATTTAAACTGACAAACACCAAACCCTATATATATATATGGGTTCGCTTTTTCTGTAGTTACTGCAGATAAGTTATCTGCAGTAGGCCCAATATGACGTCGTTTTGTGACGGAAATCATGATATTTTTGCAATTTTAATTTATCTCAGGATTATAATAGTCTTTATATTTATAATTTTTTAAGATTTCAATACCAAAATGACGTCGTTTTGGGAATAAATGCAGATAACTTGTCTGCATTAACTGCAGAAATATTTTTCTATATATATATATATATATTAAAACGAATTTTAAAATCATAATTTTTTTCTTCCTATTTAATTTATTATATAAAACGAATTTTAAAATCATAATTTTATTCTTCCTATTTAATTTATTTTATATCTATAGTTGATTTACTTTTATACTATGTTCTTTTTTCTTTCTAATTTTTTATTTTGGTGAATTTCTTTCTAATTTTTAGCTTCTATATTTATGTTCACATGCAACAAGACTCAGGTAGATATTTTATTTTTTTGGTAAAGTATGATTTTATCATATCTCTGGAGTTTAGAAGTCAATACAATTTATGATATACGATTCAAAAAAGCAAATTAACGATTTGATTGCGATTCCACAACTTTAATAATGATATTTTCATTTAGTAAACAAAATCTTTAAAGCAGTAATATAGGTATATGCTTACACTTTAAAATAGAGACAATATATTTTGATATGACATCTAATTAAAAAATTTGATATTAAATTTTAGGGGTGTATTGGATTAGGATTTTAAAAGATTTTTTTGAGATAAAAAATTCTACAGATTTTAAAAGACATTTTAGAATTAGAGAGACTTTATAGACTTTTTTTACAATCAAGATTTCATAGGATTGGATTTTAACAGATTTCATAAGATTTGAAAGGACAATATGGATTTATAAGATTTTAAAAAATCATATAAATTTTTAACAAACATTCAAAATTACAAGAGTCAATACAAAAGGAAAAAGGTTATACTTACAACCTATTTTTGTTTACAATAGTTTACAACCATATCTTAACCGTTGATTTTCGTCAATCAACGGTTATCATTATTGCAAATTAAATATTAATTAATGAATTTGATTTGCGAAAATAATAACCATTGAATGAAGGAAATCAACGGTTAAGATATGGTTGTAAAAGGTTGTAGACAAAAATAAGTTGTAAGTATAATCTTCCCTATAAAAAAATAACAAGGAAATACAATGAAATTAATAAAAAAAGTAAAATCAAATATAATTTTCTCAATCAGTAAAACATAATATAATTTTTAACAAATATTCAAAACTACTAAACAACAGCTTTTCACATATCTAATGGGTTAAAAATCATCTTTTTCAATTGGTATCAAAGCTATGTATATATGATTATAAGACCCAATTTTTTTTAATTATAAAAAAAAAATTAAATTTGCATATAACCTAAAGTTCATGAAAATTTCGTTTGAAAATTTTTGCAATTAATCTTGAAAACCTTGAGGTTTTTTGAATTTTCTAACCATATATCATATGCATATTTTTATTAGAAAATTTTTTAAATTTTTTTCAATCGATACATTAAAACCTTAAATTGCTTTGGGACTTTTGAGAAACAAGCTTTTAGTTATCTATTGACACAGAAATTGTTTGAAATCGTTTCCTACGGTGAATGAATTTCGTTTATGAATGTTTTGTTACGAAATATAGAGTTCATATTATAAAAGTTTCAATCTTTCTTTAAATTGATATTGTTTCATTGATATAAAACGAAAATAATACGAAAGTTCTCCTTATTTCTGGGTTATTTTGTGATAAAAATCGCTCAAAAATATGCTCTTTAATTTTGGCGAAGCTCTCATGGCGGAACCCAATTTCGTGCAGTGAACCTATCAAAGGAAGAAGAAAACACTGCAATAGAAGAATATCAAGAAATCCTAGGAGTTGAGGTGAGATTGTGAGAGAGACATCCTATTTATATTTTTCACTAAAAAGTCTAACGAAATCCACACAATAGAAAATCCATAAAATCGTCAAATTTTTGAATACCACGAGATTGTGTTTCCATTGTTTAAAATTCTGATTGAATACCAACGGATTTAGACAGATTCAAAAATAATCCTTTAAAATTCTAATCGAATACCACATGATTTTTTTTCAATCCATTAAAATCCTAATCGAATACCAACGAATTTTTTTTTGTCAAAAAACAATCCATTAAAATACTTTGAAATCTCAATCCAATACACCCCCTTTAATCATTATAAATTATAACTGTTAAATTTTTTATCAAAATTTTAAAAAATTTAATATGGTGAAAAATTGACTTTCCCAAAAAATGTTACAAAAAAAATTATTTGATAAATCAAAATATTCTCAAAAATATTGATTAATTTTTTTTATGTTATATTTGATTGATTGTAAAATATTATTAAAAATTTGTCAAATTTTCTATTTTTCCAATGAATTCAAGAATACTCCCCAGGCTATTGGTATTTTTGGTTAAATTTTGCTCATAAAACAATTTCACAAAATGACATTAGGTGTACTTTTTTCATAAATCTTCTACCAAAGTAAATTAAATTACCACCCTCTATTTTATAAAAATCTAAAAAATAAAATAAAAAATCCTCTACCAAACATCTCCAAAATAAAAAGAAAAGAAAAAGAAAAAAAAACCCAATAATCCCGCGTCCTCCCGCTCAGCGAAATTTGAGTGATTCCCTCATCCTCTTTTCAAAAAGCCCAATCTCAGTCATTCATTCATTCTTATTGCCTTCTCTTTCTCTATTGCTTTTTGTTGAAACAGGAACTGTGACCAATGACATTGAAGAATAGGAAGGACATGGAGCTCACACTCACACTCACACTCACACTCCCTGGCGACTTGATCGAAGAAATTCTGTTAAGGTTGCCGGTGAAATCTCTTTTGCGTTTTAAATGTGTGTGTAAATCATGGCTCGCTCTCATCTCCAATCCCCAATTTGCAAAATCACATTATGACATTGCTGCTGCACCCACCCACAGACTTCTTGTTAAGCCATATCATGCTGGTTATTCAGATTTCATAGGAATAGAGGCACCACTTCACTGTGATTCTGCTCTTGCATGCCTCACTCTTCCACAGTCATCATTAATTCCTTCGGTTGGTTATCTTCGAATATTGGGTTCTTGCCGAGGGTTTATAATTTTAAAGTGTGTTGAGAATGATGATCTCATTTTATGGAATCCATCAACGGGTGCCCGAAAAACAATATCATGCTCCGCGCGTCGCATATGTTTATATGGTTTTGGATATGACCCATCAACTGATGACTACTTGTTAGTTATTGCTACGAAATCTTCCAATATTTTTAAAACTCAAATGGAGTTTTTCTCCTTGAAAACCAATTCATGGAACAAAGTTAAGGGTATTAATTTTCCATGTACAGATATTGGGGATGCTGGGGATATTGGTGTAAGATTCAGATCTGGGTTACTCTTGAATGGGGCTTTTCATTGGTTGGCTGCACCTAAAGATATTTTAAAGGATGGCGTGATTATTGCTTTTGATTTGATAAAAAGGAGTTTATCAGAGATTCCTTTGCCACGTGATTTTACTGGCTATGGACATACATCGATATTTGAATTTTGTCATCTCATGGTAATCGGAGGATGTCTCGGTCTGGGTTGCTCACGTGGTGTTTGCTGGGTGATGAAAGAATACAAAGTGCAATTATCTTGGACCAAGTCCATTGTTTCATCTAATCGCTCCTTTCCTTGCTACTCTACTTTCCCGATATGCTTAAGAATAATAGGTTGTGGAATTATTGGATCAAATGATATTGGAAAATTATTGAAACTTGATGACAAAGGAGAGTTGCTTGAGAATTCCAGATATATTATGCGGTGGTTTGGCAAAGGAAGTAAATTACAGTCTGCTATTTATACGGAGAGTCTACAATCATTCCCTAGTGACTTTGGGGAAGCGAGGAAAGATGACCAACAGTAATAGACATGAAGAATTAGGGTATGTAATGCTCTCCAATCTTTTTGACCATTTTATTCCTATTCATCTTGCTTTATGGAAATTGAAATGTTATATGCTGAAAACATGATACATAAAATCCGATACCTTAACCTATCTCGTACTCTCCCCTTCCTACCTAATATTATTTTCATTTTCGAGAATAATCAAAGACAAGGAAATTTGCGTGGAAAAATTTAAAAGAGAACTACTAATATTTGGAGTAAAGCAATTAGGATTTCTAGTGAGACTTTACACTATCACATTCAAGTGATATTATTTGCATCATGTACACCTTCATGCATGTGGTGCAGTAGTTCTGTTTGGTTGGACAGAGAATTAAGGGAGGTATAAATTTCTGATGTTATTGACGATTATAATTTTGGATTATGTAATTTGGATGTGCTTGCAGAATGCCTCAACTTATTTGGTTGTTGTTTAAGATTAGTGAGATATAATCCCGAAGGACCAAAGAGATCTGCTCCAGTACTTTCATATGCAGTTGCAATGACATAAAGCAATTTCAGGTGTTAATCAATAACTCCACTTCATTCCGAGTGACAAGGATTGTTAGACATGAATCTAGTCCGATGGGTTTTTCAGTATATAGCAGTGTAGAGTTATATTTACTATAGATACATTTTCAAAACGTCAAGATACATTTTGAATAAATCACAATTGTCATCTAGCTCGGGTTTAAGTTGGTTTGTCACTTGATTTTTTTTTTTTTTTTTTGACTATTTGCCCTTTGGATTATTGATAAATTAAGCGTATGGTGATATGGAGCTTTTTGGACTGGGTTTATTTGTATCATCAATTAGCTTGGTTTGTTTATGTTGCTTGCAAAGTGACGATTGTTATATCCTTCCCTAATTGTTCTGCATGCTCTGATATAGCTACTTCAGGGTTCATTCAACTTTTGCTTAAAACATGTCCGAATGTGTTTTTTTTTTTTTTTTTACTATTTTCTTTTATTTGAGTGGAAAGTTGTGCATGGTCACTCTATTATTGATTACCTATTGTACTTCAAATGTGTATATAGTGAAGGGTTGATTTTCTAGTGAAGTGTAAGGTGCATTCATTTAGGTCGCAGAAGTCTGCATTCTGAACTTGTTTGTGTTGTGCTGGGATTATTTGTAGGAAATTTTAGATTTATGCGGAAGCGGTTTAGGACCTAGTACATTGGTATGCTTACCGAATCATCCTTGTTTCACAATTACCTCTCGGTGCGCAGGTCTCGTGTAGAATCTTCCCTTGTAGGATTCCTCTTCACGAACAGCTCACCTCAACGCCGCAGCACGAACAACCTCCTTGAAGCTGGACTGTGGCAGATCTTCCAAACTATCTCTCGAGGAGGAAGGGGAAGTGTGTGGGCACTGATTAGATTCTGAGCTTGCCTCTTTCTCACAAAAAAGACCTTGGAGGCTAATGACTTCAGAGGTACTATTTATATGGGTTCCAAGAAACCTTAGCTCATTGGGCTCTAGGTTCCTTGGGCTCTTCTCATACTAATAACCCATTTGGGCTTTAGTAAAAGAGCAAACCCAACAATCTCCCACTTGCTCTTTTGGATACAAACTTGAGTCGTAAAACCCAAGATCATGTAACCCATAAGTCATCATCTATCCGAAAAATACCCCATCCCTTGTCTCAAGCTAGCTTGGGGATCTACCATCTGTTATTAATCAAGGCTCCTGATAATCAACGAATGATTATCTAATTCGGTGCTACTCCACTAAAAGCCTGAACTTGAACTCCAAGATTAACAACACTTATAACATGAATATGCATCGCCCCTTTGTAGAATGTCTATAATTGATTGACAAGTTTTCTGTAACTCAATCAATTATTTATTCCCTTGACTATGATAGTTTCTCTGATGGATTACATGCACTGGCCAGTGTCTTTAATATCCAAGTACCGAAACATATCAAGGGGACATATCCTACAAATTCCATGTTGTTTATCTCATAAATACCGATAATCAAATAATCTCACTCCCAAAATACCGAGTTATTGGCCGTCAATAGATCGAACCTCACCCGTTGGTAAATCAAAGAATGAAAACTATTTGATTACCTATTTATAATAAACTCAGGATTAAGAGCAATCACATAACTATAGTTAACTGGAGATTTGATACCTTATGACAGAAAAACAACCTTAATCAAATCTCTCCTTGATCCTTTCAATGTGAATGTTAATTCACACCAATATTTTACAATGATTCGGACAAAATCATTTCATAAAATATTGCAGCCTGAATAAAGTGCCCAACTTTATTTAACGGCTGTGACTCCATTCATCAATTGTGAGATCCTATGATCATGTCCTCCATGAACGTATCCATATGATCATATACTCCACAATTTGATCCGGACCTTTATGTTTGTAAATAGTGCGCAAAATAAATAAATAAAACCTTATTTATGAAATTCAGAAAATGATTTTATTGTTTCATCGTCTTATTCCAAGAGCACAATAAAACCAATAACTCCCACTTGCTTAATGCAAGTCTGGGATCCTCCTAAGACCCAAAGAAGTAACATGCCTCTCGAACACAAGTTCAGGCAAACTCTTAGTAACTGGGTCTGCAAGATCCACCTCTAATGCTATCTGAGTTTAGTGAAAAACTCATAGCTCGAGGTTGATTTTCTTGAGTCAATATCCACTTGAAATAACTGAATTTTTGAAAACTCAGCTTTTCAAGACTCCCACTAGAATATACCAGCATATAATCTCTCGTTCTCCAAAGATACTTGAGTACATGCTTAACAATAATCTAGTATTCCTCTAGGTTCAAAATGGTACTATCTCACTACTCCCACTACGTGACAGATGTCTGGTTTAACGCCCAACATGATATGCGTGAGTCTACCTTTGCCAAAGCATAAGATATCTTGCTCATGCATTCTTCCTTCTTAGAAGTCTTTGGTCACTCCTTAGGAAGATGAATTCCACATCTGAGAATTATAATTCTTCTCTTAGAATTCTCATGTTGAATTTTGGGTTTTGTCAATGTAAGTAGCCTGAGGTGATGCCAACAACTTATTCTTCCGGCCTCATAAGAGTTTTATACCAAGAATATAATTGGCTTCCCCAGTACTTCCATACCAAAACACTAACTTAGCCAACTCTTTATGCTTGATATTACCTCCACATTGTTTCTAATAAGGAGCATATCATCTACATAAAGTACCAGAAAAGCTACTGTCTTCCGTTGTATCCTTTACATACAAATACACATCATTCATCAAGGTTCTCTCAAAATCAAAATTTTGATAACCTGATCAAAACTGATGTTTCAAGACCTGGATGCTTGCTTAAGTCTATGAAATAGACTTTCACAACTTGCATACCGTGTGTTCCTACTCATTTGCTATAAACCCTTTTGGTTGTTGTATGTAGATATCCTGACATCCAACTCCCAAAATGAAATCTCATAATTGAGACTTATAGCAACTAAGAGAATCTGGATAGACTCAAGCATGGCGTCTGGCAAAAAATGCCTCCAAGCTAGCTTTGAAGGTTTTCACCTTTCTGTCCATCCTCTCTTTGCCTTTTATGTCCACATGCACCTTGTGGGTTTTACCCCTCTTGGTGTCTTTACTAGGACCGAACGGAGTTGAAATACAAGTATTTCATCTCATTGTTCATAGCCTGAGCAACACTTGATCAACAACATCTTCTAGTGCATTATCGTAACTAGTAGGATCAATGTCACTCAACAAGAAACAACTTGAGAGTTAACAAGGTTCTCTCCCACTACGAATGTACTGCACTAGACCTTGTGTATTTATAGGTAAAACAAAGAGTGGGTCAAATGATGGATCTTCAATTTCTTGAGGATCCGCTTATCCTTGATATTGTTCCTTTACATGTGATACTAATATTTCTACTAGTTTCACTTATATATTATCATGTTGAATTTCCAATCATGGTTCTCTTGTTTGTTCACTTAGAGATATATCTATCCCCTCTTGAACAATCAAGGGAACAGTGGATGAAGCTTCTAGAGATTCTGGAAATTCTTGATCTGAGATAAATCTCATCAAGAATAACCTAACTTAAGAGCTTATAATTTCTTATCTAGTCCTCCTTTAAGAAAATCATGTGAGTGCTCACTTAGATTATCTTGTCCTTAAGACTAAATAAGAAATCATCCCTAGTTCTCTTAGGGTAGCCAAAAGATATGCACTCTTCCATACAAGATTCCATCTCATTTGACTGTTGTTGTAGGACGTGTGCCGTAGCACCCTAAATCCGAATATGGTTTGATCTGGGCTTGCACCCTTTCCATAATTCTTTAGGTGTCTTTACAACAAACTTTGACGGAATCAAGTTAAGAAGGTACATTTCCTTCTCTTAGGCATCTCCCTTGAACAACATTGACAAAGATGAATAACTGAACATGATCTTCACCAAGTCTAGAAATGTTTGATTTTTGCATACTGCAACTTCATTCAACTAATGCGTTCTTAGAGTTGACAGTTACAAAAACTATCCCCTCTTAAATCAGGTAAGACCTGAACTTACCAGACAGGTAGCCAACACTTTAGTCAGACCAAAGTGTTTTTGATTTGAACACCTACATGCTTTTCTGCCTCAGACTAAACCTCTTGGAAATTTCCAAAAGCTTTAGACTTATAGCGCACTTGGTTCATCTGTCCAAATCCAGAGTAAACATTCATATAATGAAGTACTCATCACCTCTTCTGGTCTGAACGCTAAGTGGTCCACATACTTTAGTATGTACCAGTTCCAGTTGAATAGTTGCGCAAACCTTCTTGGCCCTTGTAGGATTGCTTGGCCACTTTACCTTCCAAATAGGACTAACATGTAGCTGTTAGTTAAAAGATTATTGAACTTTCAGTCCCTCTTTTAACTAAAACATATTTTCTACTTGAGATAATGTGACTCAATCACAAAGGCCAAAGTTATGTTTCATTTGAAACTTTTATTTCTTTGGTGAAAATCCTTGTTCA